TTAGATAAAACAGACATAGCTGCAGATCTGTAGCTCTCCGAAAAAATATATATTGATAGACCGGAGACTCCGGTCTATCAATTAAACTTGTTATGAGATAAGATTCTTTCTAATGTGTTCAATATTTTTTGCACACTTATACACTTTATTTCTTTAAAAATTATTACCAATTTAGAGGCATGCTTTTAAATTAATTAAAATCAAAATACTTGTAATTGTATGTTAATTGTAACCTTTAAAAAATTGCATTAATTGAAAATTGTATACAACATGCAAAGTCAAAAGTCTTGCACATGCATATACATTCCAGCTATAGCAGGTCTGTAACTGTATGATTTCTAAAATGTATAAAGTTTTCCACATCTTTTATTCTGTAATTAATATATTGTATATATTACTTACTAGATTGTTTAAATGCAGATCATGAATTTTGTTCATATTATATGTATATATACAGTGATATAATCAAAATTTAAAAAATCCCAACCAGGACCATTCTAAATCCTTCAACTGCAGTCCATCACCTAATTTGTTGCACAAAATTCATTATTATAGTTTTAATGTATTAAACATCTATGTTTGAAAAAAAAAGTTTCTTTCTTTTTTTGCCTTTTTGGAAGCACATTAATTTCTCTTCTTTCGTTCTATTTTCTACTTAATAATTATTATATTCTCTTCTTTTTATGATGCCTACATATATGTAAATTGGCAGAAGGATAAAATGTACGCTATATATAAAAACTAACACCTAGCTAAGTTCTGGCCTGCTCATTACATATAGCTGCAGAAATGCAGCTCTGATCAGAAAAATTGGGATGGAAAACCTAGAGCTACAGTGCCATCCATTGAAAAAAAAAAAAAAAAACACTTTTTAAGTCTGCTATTTTCTCAATTTATTTCTCCGTTTATATGTATTGAAACTAGCTGCCACCTCAAAATTTCACTGTTTTTTTTTTCTTAATTAGCATACTTGATTTTGCAACTTAATTCCACAACAAAACATTTCCCAAACCCAATGTTTACAGCCCTACTGAGATTTTTTTTATATTAACAAAATTTTTACAGATTTATGTATCATATGCATACATGGTCTGCAATATTTTATAGCAACAATGAAAGAACATATAAATGTCCTAGGCCAAACCTGATCTAGAATTTAGTTTAATTAGAAAAGAAAAGAAAAGAAAAATAATTTCCTCTAATCCAAAGTACTCCATTCCTAAAATGGTAAGTCAAACATGAAAGAATAAAGTTAATCTGACAGATTTTTTAGGGGTCATAGGGAGGGGGGGGGGGCTGTATAAGCTATGCCTTATTCCCAATGATAACAAGAGATGTTTGTAAAACACTTATGCCCCTCTCCCCCCAAATTTGAATTTTTCTAAGTCCAAAAGGGCATAACTCTGTCTAAAATGATGTGATCCTACCCAAAACTTTTCTTGACCTAGATATTCAGCTGAAAAATCTGTATACACTGTACTAAATTTCATTTCAATATGTGCAACCTCTACAAAGAAAGGAATGGAAACTGCAATTAAGTGGAATTTCTAAGTCCAAGGGGCTTAACTCTAAAGTAAAAGAATGCGATCGCACCCAAAACAGAACTTGACCTAGATATTTCTCTGATATACCTGTATACTAAATTTCATTTCAATATGTGCAACCTCTGCAAAGAAAGGAATGGAAACTGCAATTAAGTGGAATTTCTAAGTCCAAGGGGCTTAACTCTAAAGTAAAAGAATGCGATCGCACCCAAAACAGAACTTGACCTAGATATTTCTCTGATATACCTGTATACTAAATTTCATTTCAATATGTGCAACCTCTGCAAAGAAAGGAATGGAAACTGCAATTAAGTGGAATTTCTAAGTCCAAGGGGCATAACTCTAACAAAAAGGATGCAATCGTACTCAAAACAGATCTTGACCTAGACATTTACCTGATAAACCTGTATACCAAATTTCATTGCAGTATGTGCAACGGTTGTGAAGAAAGTGAACGGAAACTAAATGGACCGACAGACCGACCGACCAACAGACCTACGGACAGCAGCAAAGCAATATGCCCTCCCTTCTTCGAAGGGGGGCACAAAAAGTGTTTTTCCCAACTTCAAAATTTTGTAATGAAATTCTCAAAAGAGAATCAAAACAAACATTAAAAATGTCCAAACTCTGCATGAGTAATATGGAAATTAAAGAAAAATGTGAAATATATGATATTTCCCCCAATTTCAACCAAATAATGGCACTTTTTTCCCAAATGGAAGATAGTACAGGTCCTTGTTTTACATGTAAGGTAGTCCGATCCTAAGGTTTATAAAATTAGCAGTTAAGTAATCAAAAATACTCATAAAAGTATCTCTGAATTCACAAAGATTTCTAAATTTATCCAAAGTATTTCTTTAAAGTTTAAGATTAAAGTTAATAATTTTATATAGGGAAAATTGTAAAATCTTCAATATTTTTGCAGAAAGAAGTGAATTGGAATATTATAGCAATGCATTAATTTTCTAAGTGCAAATTGATCAACACATATATTTAAGATTAAAAAATGATAGGGATCCAGGCATTCAGAGAAATTGTTGTGATTTTTATACTTATTTGGTATTATATATCTTCTATTTTCGTCATAATACATAAATTTATGTAAAAAGCCTTTTCTATCATTGTAAGACACCACAAATCACTTCTTATTTCATATCGTGCTTATAATTAAGCATTGGTACAATGTATCTAAGGCTTGATTCAAGAAAATCTTGTTTCTCTAAAACTGTATGAATTTTTTTCCTATTATACTGGGTACAAATGTCAACTTTTATAAGACCTTAATATTCTAAGACTACCAAAAACCTTGAATCTTATAGAGATGAATAAAATGAAAATTGTTGCATAAAAAAAAATCATTTTCAAGCTTGAAGGCATTTTGATGCAATTCAAATTAAATATTAATTTTTGAAGTTATTCTTCCTGGCTGAGGATTAAATACATGTATCCTGAAAGACCTTAAAAAATTGCAGGGTGCTGGTAAAAATGTCAAATCTACCAGCCCTAGAGCAGGGACCATTATCCTTTTTTTTTAAAGGGTATTAAATGATCTGTTCAAAGTACTAGTACCATTTACAAATTTGTTAATTTTAAATAAACTTGTTTAGAAATTTCTCTAACTTTAATTTACTAATAAAAATTGAATTGGATGTTAAGAGAAATACAGTATATATATCAAGTAATTTAAATTAATCTGACCTGAAATGAAAGTAAAAGATCACGCAATCCAGCATGATCACAAATTTAGGAATATAAGTGTCTTAAGTTTGATCAGTTTGTGTATAGTACACACCATCAGGTACTGTTAGTAGAGTTTGTGTTTGCCAGACAGAGTGGGGTACAGGTAAATCATTTGTGATAGGTATATAGTATCAGGTGTGTCATGCAATGCTCAAGTCTGGAATAATTATCAGTGTAGCTAATACTTCAAGAATCAGGACTATATAACCATAATTAATAAAGGTAAGAAGCTAACTTTTATACTTGTAAAATCCTTACATGAGTGTGGTTGTTTTTGTAACATAGACCTTTGAAGTCATGGGTCATGTTCATGCTAATATAAAATATTTTAAGTTCTGAAAATGTCAATTGTTGTGATTTTGTAGCCATAGTTCCCTCTGAACCTGTTTAAATTAAAAAAAATCAAATAATTTAGGATAAAAGTAGAAAAGGTGTTAATCATGTTAATCAGTAACCACTGTACCCCTTGTAACCTGGGTACATGGACAGTCCTTCAGATATTTTCTACTTTCATTTTTCAATGGTTTTGTACTGTACCCTAATTGTAACCTTATTAGTAAAGGATAAATAGAGGTGTACCCTAGGGTACAAAAGTATCACCTAAAAACACAGTACCAATTTCTTGCCATATATGAATCTAAGTAACTAAATATAGGCCACCATGTGTACGGATGTTTATTGGCAAATGACCTTGAATAACATGGACCGAATAAAGTTGAAGTTCATACCTATTTTTACATTAGCTCATTTTGTTTATAGATTATTTCACTAAGTAAGTTTTTATTCATTCAAAATCTGCTGATGAAGTTGGTTATTACCACATTGTAATCTTGTACCATGTGCCAGTGTTTAAAGCATGGACGGGTGGCAAATCGATCTGTTTCAATCCAATAAAATACTTGCCATCGAGCAATATCAATGTTAATAAGATCATCTGTTTTACTTCTTTGACTGAAACTTAACTTTAAAAACTGGAAATTATTATAAAATATTTCATAATACAAAAACATAAATCGGATACTTTCATCACCCACCTTTCACTTTCATTGATGCATAGAAAAGGGGAGATAACCCGTAAACCTAGTGACTAAGTACCGACACTGTATGGATGGATAAATAAATTCCGGCTTATCACATTTATTAGTTTTTTCCACAAAAAGGAGGTGAATGATGACATATAATAAAAGGATAGAGCTTTGATAACGGCGCATATTGTGAGATGAACTCAAATATGCGGTAATATATAAAATTTTCCAATATTTTGTCATTGAATTATTGCTACTTTAACATGTTTACTCACAAAAAATTGAGGCACCTTACTAGGAATTTCTGCAAGATACCAGGGGTAGTTTTTCTTATAAAATCCTTTTGGGAAGAAGAATAATTTTTCTATTTCAAATGTTTAAGTGTTTGGATTTTAAAAGACGTTTAAAAACTGGTTTAGAAATCAGAATGTAATTAAAATTTTGAATATTATTCATACATTACGAAGATTTACAAAACAGATATCGAGGAACGAGACGTTAAATAAATTCTCTTGAGTATTGGAATATATTGTGCAAAATTTAATACAATAATTCAAACCCTTGTGGGGATGTATGCGTTCTAAAATAATTTATAGAAGAATTAAAGAAGAATTTCAAAAAAATTGATTTATTCTATTATGTTTTTAAAGCATGAGAGAAAAGCAAAATCTTGAAACGCAAAAATTATCATTTAGAAAGACATGTGAGATAAAAAAAAAAAGTTTTGTTTGATCTTCTTTAATTAGTTCAGTAGTTTATAAAGCGGGACGTTAAAAACATACAATCAATAAATCAATCAATGATGAATAAATACAATTATGCTGCCTTCTCTCACTAAACACCATATTCTTCTTCGAATTTTGCCCAATCGGGAAATTTGTTCATGTAATAAGCAGCCCCTATTGCAAATGTTGATCCAGTATTCATTGGAATCACTACCATAACGCGCTGTTCCGTAAACCAGTCATTCTCAGCCTCGTTTTGAACTATCTTCATTTGAGAGTGTCTTCCTGTCATAAAAACACAAGAAACCTCTTTTTGATTAAATGTATCACTTGTTTTGTTTTTTCTATTACTTCCTGGTAACATTCCCTTAGTTTGGACCACGTTATACTTAATGTACACTTGCCTTCTTTTATGCTTAGTGTCATTTTTTTGCATTTCTTCGCGTCTTCCATAATTTCTTCATAACTGGCATCGAAATGTTTTTTACTGAAATCACAGAGTTTTGTTGATAGTTCAAATTCAAATTGTTGATTGTCTGAGAAATCGTCAATACTGTTTTCATACATTCTGGCTTTGTGTTTTTCAAATTCGTAAAGCAATGAGATATACTCTCTGTGGCAATTTTTTTTCCATTGCTCAACAGCGGTTGGTGTGAAAATATCTTCGAAGATCGACAAAAAATTTTCCTCTGGTGATAGGGTCCACTTTTCTCTGAATGGTCTACTCAAAATTGTATCCGGTTTTCTTAAGTCATCAACTTGTAGGAACAATAAGTTGCAATAAGCTAAGAAAAAAAAACATGGAAATACACAAAAAATTCACAATGAAATCCATCTTTTAATATTTCATTTTTAATATGCTTCTAAAGACCAATACAAAATTACTTTTTAAAAATTCTTTATATTTGTATACATTTTCAAACTACAAAATCATTTTGAGTTGGGCTTTTAATTTATTGATCTGCGAATCTATACTTAACACACAAGCACAATCTTACTTGAGCCGACATGTAGAAGTGCATATGTTGTATTTTGCCTGAATGACAAAAAGTCAACGTTGAAATTTAAACATAGCATCTTTGCCTTGACTCCATGAATAAATGGGGAGATTGCTACTCGTCTGAATTTCAAATGTAGTTTCTCTTTATTTATTGTTTCACCAGGAGCTATCTAGAATTGAGGAGCAGAATGGTCATATTAACCAATAGTTATTAAAAAAATAAACAGATATATTCGATATTTAAGTGGACTCTAAATTGCGAGTAATTACAAAGAAAAAAAGAAAATTAAAGAAAGAAAAGTTGAAATATTCGTAAAGGAAACTTGCGTTCAGATTACCTCGGCCTTAAGTATTGCATCTTTAAAGACCTTCATATTTTCTTTCCAGTGAACAGGGACAGTGAACACATAATGTATGTCAAGCTCAGATTTTCCTTTCGATTCACTGGGCTTAACCTTATCTATTTCTCCACGAATTCTCCCAAGTAAATGGACAATAAGTTTCTGGTAAATCTCTATTGTTTTAAATTTATGTTTTCCAACTGTAATCTGAAAAATGATAAAATGTATTATTAACTTTTCATATCAGTTTAATTTAGTAATGTATATATGAGTTTCTGCCTTGCTATGTTTGCCATGCAAAAAATAAAATACAATAATAAACCCACCGTTCCCTCAGTTATTTTTAGCTCATCAATAAGTACACAATTCTTCAGACTATGATCTTCTAAAATATACATCTCTCGTGCAAGTTTTCCAAAGTGCTTCAATTCTCCGTCTTTTGTCAATAGAACAGAGATTTTTTCTACTTTTCCCACTGCTTCTATCTTCTCTGATTTTGGATTGAAGTAAGCCATGCCACAATATTTGTCTCCAATATCGATTGAAGAAACCCAAAAGTGGTTCCCTATCATAGTAAATAGTGATTATCATACTACTTGTTAAAACAATTCTAAAAAAGTGTTTGACAATTATCAAGTAGAGAAAAAAACATTAGCATGTATTCAGATCTATCTCTTACTATATATGGACATACTAAAATTAACTTCGTTTGAGCTAGGAATATGAAAGACAACATTGTCGAGTATGTTTCTACCCCTGAAGTGTAATTTTATAATCAAGTGCACTCAAAACAAAATTTGTGTAATGATCAAGCAAGAGAAGACAGAGCATTAATTTTAAACTTGCATTATGGTTATAATATGTGTCCTTGGCAATTAAAGACTGGCATTTAATGTACATGTAACCCTTAAGACCCTCTGGTGACTAATTCAATTTTTTTTACTTTTTTGATCATCCTTCACAATAAATGTTTGTTACATTTATTATATATTTACCTGACTCTACAGGCTTCTTCGCTGAATCCTTATCTGTAGATCGCATATAAAGCAAAGAATAATCTTCATGCTTTGCATCTACATCAAATAAATAAAAAAAATTTAATTAAGAACAATTATTGTCATGTTGGTATTCAAATAGATATCAAAAGAAAGAGAAAAAAATGGGGCTATGATATTACATGTAAATAGAATTTCCTAATAAATATATCAAAAATCCTGTCTTAGTTCATGTCATATAATCTAAAAAAAAAATCTTATACAGAATATATTTGGATTTCTTTCAAAACGTGAATTGTATTTGTATTTCTTCATAAAAATATATGACAATAAATTGAATAGAGGTAATAAAAAAAATGAGGTCTTTTAAAAATAATGGAGGAATGAATGTAAAATAGCACGATTTTGTTTAACCCCTTTTCCCGCAGTCAAGCATTTTAACGCATATAACCTTTCCTATTTCTAACGCAAAATCACGCATATACCATTTCCCCGCAATCACGCATTTTCACGCACTTTAAAAAGTTCATTTAATCGTTAATTTAATGCCAATTTCCTTATATTTTATGCTTGCAAAAATCCCATGAAAGAAGACGAGTTATTTTTGTATTAAGATATAGCGTCGTAATATTATTTACACTAAACTTTAGAGAAACGTGTACCATGCTAGAAGGTGCTTGCGGGGAAATGATTTTTTTTTATATGACGTGAACATTAATTGTATGTTGCATAATAGTCAAGTAAGCTGTAAAGAGTTAAGCCCTTGCATTTAAGATCACATTAAAGACCCCCTGTACTCCGATGCAAAACAATTTGTTGGGGAGAATACATATTAAAATTATTTTACTGATTTTGAAACATACGGTGAAGGGCTTATTTACCAAAAAAAATCTTCAGGGAAAACAGATCACTGATTAAGAAAACTCTGATTCAAGATTTGTTCACTCTAACTGGAAAAATACATGCAAATAGTTTTTAATTACCAGTTCTTGGTCGTAAAATAGAAGGTTTAAATAAACCACGGCAATACAATGCAGATTGCAGCTGATTTTATTTTATATCAAATAGTGGATCAAACTACCCAAAAAGTACCCCTGAATTGTAGTGGAGTTCCTTAAATGAAATTTTTGGGTTGAATTCTGAAGTCGGATGTAGTTATTTTCTAATTATATCATTTTTGAATATATCTGTTTCTATAGATTTTTAAACTTACCCTTTTCTGTCTTTTGTGAGGAGGATTCCGCTCTTTCTTCTTTTATATTGGATTTATCTTTACCTTATTTGAGATATAAAAGGTGAACTATATATACATTGTACTTGTTTGTAAAGTAAAGCAATATTTTTCATGTTCTCTTTATGACAAGTACCCCTAAAAATGACTGAAAATATGTAGTCGCAGTATGTAAATACCACTCCATGTTCCACAGGCTGCACCACATTTGATAACAAGGAAACATGTTTAATGAGTGTTTAATGTCATGTGCTTTTGATTGATTGATAAGCGAGTGCTAATTTATCATTTTGAAAAGTTTGAAAATCTTGTGACAAAGACTTTTCCGACATAGGTTCTACCTTAATCATAAAAACAGTCATATAAAGAAACATGCTTATGTATTCTACCTTAGACATTCAGGATATATTTGTTAGCACGGATACAGCTAGACTTAAATACTATCATAGGTTTTTCTGAGTGGTAATGTATTTATATCTCTAAAAATCTTTAAACTGTACTGAATAGATTTATAATGTAATGATATCCATTATTGTAGTCCCAAAACACCGATGCATTATAGATATGTAGGAGTAGACAATATATCGCTACTAGAATTTGGTTGAGAAAATATAATACCTGATACTCTAGGATCAGCAGATTTTTTTTTCTTCGAAGAATGAATTATCTATTTAAAAATTTAAATTATGTCATAACTGGAATGAATATAATTAAGATATCACTGTTATATTAAATGTTTGTAAAATCCCTTCTTTATTTACCCGAATCTTCAAGTTTCACTGTACCCTTAGCTGCCGATAGTGTAATTAAAGGAACATCTTCGTGATTTGTATCTTCATCAAATAAATAAAAAAAAAATTGATTTAATAAAGAAAAAAAAATATTTTCATATTGGTATTTAAAATGAAAAACAAATATTGATAGAGAGAGAAAAAGGATGAGGATTAGATTTCAAAAACTATTTCACATAAAATGTATAAAAAAAACAAGAGGCCCATGGGCCACATCGCTCACCTGAGTAACTTGGGTGAAGCAGATCTTTAGCAAATTTCCCCTCTTGCTACTCCTATCGTGCCCTCCCTACCCCCTCCCCTTACATGATTTTTATACTTTAGAATCTACACTACCCAAGAATGCTTCCATATAACGTTCAGCTTTCCTGGCCCAGTGGTTCTTGAGAAGAAGATTTTTAAAGATTCGTTCTATACATTTCAATGTAAAACTTGGATTCCCTATTGTGGCCCCATCCTACCTCCGGGGGTCATGATTTTATCAATTTAATATCTAGACTACCCAAGGATGCTTCCACATAAGTTTCAGCTTTCCTGACCCAGTGGTTCTTGAGAAGAAGATTTTTAAAGATTTGTTCTATATATTTCTATGTAAAACTTGGATTCCCTATTGTAGCCCCGCCTTACCCCCGAGGGTCATGGTTTTTACAATTTAATATCTACACTACCCAAGGATGCTTCCATATAAGCTTCAGCTTTCCTGGCCCAGTGGTTCTTGAGAAGAAGTTTTTTAAAGATTTGTTCTATACATTACTAAGTAAAACTTGAATCCCCTATTGTGGCCCCGCCCTACCCCCGGGGGTCATGATTTTTACAATTTAATATCTACACTACCCAAGGATGCTTCCACATAAGTTTCAGCTTTCCTGGCTCAGTGGTTCTTGAGAAGAAGATTTTTAAAGATTTGTTCTATATATTTCTATGTAAAACTTGGATTCCCTATTGTAGCCCCGCCTTACCCCCGAGGGTCATGGTTTTTACAATTTAATATCTACACTACCCAAGGATGCTTCCATATAAGCTTCAGCTTTCCTGGCCCAGTGGTTCTTGAGAAGAAGATTTTTAAAGATTTTTTCTATACATTACTAAGTAAAACTTGAATCCCCTATTGTGGCCCCGCCCTACCCCCGGGGGTCACGATTTTTACAATTTAATATCTAGACTACCCAAAGATGCTTCCACATAAGTTTCAGCTTTCCTGGCTCAGTGGTTCTTGAGAAGAAGATTTTTAAAGATTTTTTCTATATATTCCTATGTAAAAATTGGATTCCCTATTGTGGCCCCGCCCTACCCCCGGGGGTCATGATTTTAAAATTTCAATATCTGGACTACCCAAGGATGCTTCCACATAAGTTTCAGCTTTCCTGGCCCAGTGGTTCTTGAGAAGAAGATTTTTAAAGATTTTTTCTATATATTTCTATGTAAAAATTGGATTCCCTATTGTGGCCCCGCCCTACCCCCGGGGGTCATGATTTTAACAATTTAATATCTACACTACCCAAGGATGCTTCCACGTAAGTTTCAGCTTTCTTGGCCCAGTGGTTCTTGAGAAGAAGATTTTTTAATGACCCCACCCTATTTTTGTATTTTCTTGATTATCTCCCCTTGGAAGGGGACTTGGCCCCTCATTTTAAGAATTTAAACTCCCCCTTACCCAAGGATGCTTTGTACCAAGTTTGGTTAAATTTGGTCCATTGGTTCTTGAGAAGAAGTCGAAAATGTGAAAAGTTTACAGACGGACGGACGGACAGACGGACGACGGACAAAATGTGATCAGAAAAGCTCACTTGAGCCTTCGGCTCAGGTGAGCTAAAAACAATCTTATTTAGTTTTTTCAAAATTTCTGATACCAAAATAGGAAATTTGAATTTCTTTTGAAATGTAAATTGTATTCTACTTAAAAATAGATGATACATAATTTAATCATTACTATCTAATGGAGTCTTCCTCCTTGATTGTAGCCTCAGCCTTCTTTTCATGTAAATAGTAATAACTGCAATTAAGATGACAAGAATCCCATTCAGACACAAGGATACAACACTGACTATACTCCAAGGTGTATTAATGCATTCATCGGCCTGCCCTTCACTAGAGGTTGTATTTCGTTTCACTACAGCATAACATTCTTGATCTAAAACAAAATATACTTGTATTTAAAAACATAGCTACTTAGGAAAAGTACAAAGAATGAATATAAGGATATATATGGATATAACGACAGTATACATGCTCAAATGTCAATTAAACAATACAAAACATAAGAGGTGGAATCATGTGCCATGAAGGAGTGAGCATCCCCTGCAGACCGATCACATCCGCCGTGTGCTCCTTGTAATGATCGGAAAATAACGGAAAATTCGTCGACATTTCGATGTTTAAATAATGACCTAACAATTGCTGTAGTATGAAAAAGTCAGTCAGCATATTCAATTAATAATTGAGTGTATTTGTTGCTAAGGCCATTGTATCCACTTCAGAACTCACGAAATTATGACTTTAAACGAGGCTGCTGATATTCCTGTTTCATCAACCTTTTTGTCAATAATTTACCTCGTTTAAGAAATTTTTCATTCGAAAAGCATGCTCTTGCGTATCAAATCAAATGATATAAAGCTTAGTAATTGTTTAGTTACTATACGATACTTAACGTGTGCCCCTATTTGCATGAGTAACACATCAGAATTGAACAAATTGTGTTATTCGTGCAGTTTATGATTCTGAACAAAACAGTTTCCCTGTATATGACGTGGAAGCATATCAATATTTATTAGCACAAGTATTGCTGTGTTACATATGAGAAAAGCTACAGTGCAAAAGGAAGAGAATGACTATAATAATAGCAATTTTATTTTTCAATTATAAATATAAAACTTGTCATAAAATTACACTTTTCCATATCTTTTGTTTGCGCTTTTACCAAGTAACAACATGCATACTTTCCGAAAAATGTAAATATGATAAATGTAGTTAAGATGGTGTATACTTTTAGGTCTTCGCCCTTGAGATTCGTGTCAGATGCAATAATTAACTGAGAAAAAAAGAAGACGTCTGTGTGTTTTGTTTTAAAAAAAACTTACACTTGTAGGCCGTTGTAGAGGAGTAGGAAAAAGGACACGATTTACAATTCCTTCCTTGAGCATCTTGGATAATATTCCCACCAATATTATACTCCATACATCTTTGACCTACGTTTTATAAATCAAGTTTAATATTTACTTGCTAATTAATATTAAAATGTTCCTTAACGCTCATAGTTTTCTAAACGAAATTTCACCAATAATTTGAGTGCACACAATTTCATCATACCTTTCAGGGGGGAATTTGAAAGAAATGGCATATTAACTAAAAAATGTATAAAAGATTTCAGTGAGTATTTCTCTTATAAACCTTTGAAAAGTTTTGAACCAAACTGAAAATAATTTTCCCTTATACCCCACAAGAGATACTAATGCTTGAATGTACATGTGTTTGCAAGTTTAAAATATGCTGTTGTATATTGTTTTCTAAACGTCAAGATTTATCAAGATTACTTTAAAAAGTTGAAAATGCATGGCATAAAAGTGGGAACCCTATACTATATGAGGATGCTGGAAAACTAGTATTGACTTCTTTCAGAACATTCATATATACATGTATACTTCAATTAAATGTTTTGATTAAAATAATTATATCATACATATTACTAGTATATAACAAAAATATAACATGTTTCAACTATTCTGGCCAAAATTACGCATTCAATTATTTTCATTACGAAATACAGTTGTGGGAAGTATAAATTATTTTTCAAATAGTTAATTCTCATATATAGTTGATATAAAACAATATTTTCTTTTATTTCGAATCTTTTGTATTCGAAATTAAATAGATTTAAAGTCCCATTTAATGAATGAAGCCAGACAGAAATGTTACATGGATGAACTCAGCTCTTTATTCTGCTGAAAAAAACCTGAACTGCACAGCAACTTAATCAATAGATAACAGAAAATTCATGTTAACACATGTCAAAAATATTTTATTACACTAAAATTGCTTTTTTCCTTTTTAGCTGCTGCAAATAAACAACCAGAAGAATAAAACAAATGATATGCAAATTCTTGTGGAGTCAAACTGTCCATTTACTCTAACACAAAAAGTGCTATTAATACCGGTAGTTAACGATAGTTTAATTCAAATTACCAGTAGTCAATTAAAGTTTTCACTTGAGTATACCAAAGCATATTTACTATAAATTTCAGATTTATATATTTTATCTTTTTAATTCCTACAAGTTATTGATATGAAAAAGGACTATTTCTTGTACATTCTTCATTGGTATGTAAATTACGAAGCATCAAGTCTCCAAATCTTAAGAAATATTGTAGAGTGAAGTTTCATATTACATCAAGTTATAACTCTAGTTAATTGTAGTAAATTTTTGTTACGGTAAGAAAAATGATTAATTTAAGATTATATTTTTTTTATTAATTCAAACCCTTCTCAAACCCCCAAAAAGATTATTTCAATTTATTTAGACAAAGATGATTTGTTTGTTTGTTTGTAAGTTATTTAACGTCCCTCTCGAGAATTTTTCACTCATATGGGACGCCAGAAGAAAAAGGTAATAATACAATAACTGAAATAAAATTCACACCTAATATGGAAACATCCGGGGCACAAACCTCTAATGTTGCGTTTGCAAATTCATTTAATGTACAGTGGTAAACAAAACTTTGGCATTTATGTTTATATCGTCCGCAGTTGAATGCACCGTCTCTCTGAGTCCATTCCACCTCTGATTTGGGGCATGATTTGACATAAGATATTGTTGTATAAGACTCCGAGCAGGAAGATGCCTCTATTATCGCAATCTATGGTAAGAAAATAAGTCTGTTATTATAGTTAATCAAATTTTAGTAAGAATATGGCTCCTTTAAGATTTATATAATTCATTAGAGTAATTTACACATACCTTATAGAGAACTAGTAAGTATGATACGATTATTATGTTCAGCATCATTCACACTGTGCCTCCTCTACAAGAATTTCAGATTACCATGAAACAAATATCAAACATCGAAATCAAAGCATATGTGTACCCCTTACATTTATTTATTGTAGTTTCGTTTTAAATTTTGGGGGTTATTTGAAGGATTTTAAAGATATTAGGCTGTGCTTTTAAAACTCTGACTCAATTTGATTACCCCTTACCGTGTTTATTACAAATGCCATCCTAAACATAATTGTTGGAAATTACATGTTTAATGAGAGTGAAATGATCTGTTTTCCTGTTTTCGAATATTATCTCTTAAATGATGATTTATTTTAATGATCGAGAGGAAGAACCACTTTATACGTACGTGATCTATATAAGATCATGCAATGTTTAATTTAACATTACTGAATATTTTGCGTCTTTCTGCATTATTTGAACGTTTGTAACAACATTAATGTATCGAGAAATTATCTTCATATACTTTCTCTGTGGATGGTATTTGTCGACTGCGCAGTCCAATTGCAGATCTAAAAAGTTGTTTTAATTTTTTTATTTTAAATATTTATTTTTACAAAATATATGTGTGTGCGTGTGTTAAAAATATGTCTTGGTTGTTTTAAATTTATCGATTATAATTTTTTTTTTTTTTTTTTTTTTTTTACATTTTTTAGAGGAGACGGCATTGTTTGCTGCTCTGGTTACATATGGAACACAAAAGCAAAGGAATGTCAAGGTAAACGATTCTATAAGGAAAATAAGTTGGTATTGCAGCGGAAATTTCAGTCACCCCAGTACCTTTTGCACCTATTTATATAATTTACTTTGTCATTGGATTATCCGTTATTTCCAGAACATATACGTACATAAAACAAGGAGCACACGGCGGGTGTGAACGGTCGGCAGGAGATGCTTACTCCTCCTTTGCACCTGATCCCACCTCTGAAGTAATTGTAGAAGTCCGTGTTTGTTCTGCTCCTCATTTGTATTGTTTAATGGATTTTTGAGCTTGAATACTGTTTGTTACTTCAAAATTCCATTTATTTCATGGATTTTTGAGCCTGAAAAATGTCCGTTATCTCCATGTAATTCATTCTACAAAATGAAACCGTGATATTCTTGGCATTTTCTCCAGGTTGTGGTCCAGGGTTTTTTGGTATCAACTGCTCGGAGAAATGTCCTTACCCTCACTATGGGGATAGGTGTAGATATCGCTGTCACTGTCCACAAGAAATCTGTAATAACACCAATGGGTGCTGGAAAGGATCATCAACACTACATGGAGAAGGTAACCATCATAGTATCTGTAAAGCTAACTTGGTCTTGATATGTTCCTGTTATTGTAATGTTTACTTTCATATGAATATGCGAAAAAAATGAGCCTAAAAAATAATAGTGCAATATCAATATTGGCACATTTATTCAAACAGGAAGTTTGAATTTCACATAAAAGAATCATTAATAATACCGTATAAGTGGAAATTATAGCGAGACGCAAATTGAGCGATTTGTCTTTAAAATGTGGTATTTTCTTTTTAGCGATAAGTAATTTAAGCGATTTTAAAATGCTCACCAATGAAGCTATTGCAAATTAAAGAGTTTATTTTTAGCGATATCTAATTTTAGCGATCTCAGAACCTTCGCTAATAATGCCAAAATTAAATCCTCGCTACAAATTCTATTTACACGGTATATATGTAAAATTGTTACATTAACTTTTTTCTTGATTTCAGTATTGAAATATTCTGTGAAAACTACCATAACCTTAAGAGAAAAACAAACACAAGAGCTTACTGTTTTTAACAAGGATGTTGCAACAGTAACATACATGTACATGGAACGATTCAACAAAAGTGCATTTGCCAAAACAAAAAGAGAAGAGTGTCTTCACGGCGAGCTCTTGATTGCAACATGTACCCTTTGCTGTATTGTGGTTATTTATATAATGATCAGGGTGATTATCACTGCATACCAGAAAGCAAAGAATACAAAGAAAAAAAAAAAGCATCAATTTGACACAAGATTGTTTTGAGAAGCATAATGAATTGGAAGAATTGAAATTAGTTAACTTTACTAACCCAGAAAAAGAAACCCCTTATTATGATGGTCCTGCTGATGCAAAGATTACTTATGATACAACACTACATAAATATGTTGTAGAGATGACCACAATTTCAATTCCAAAAGGATGCTTTAAAGAGCCAAGTCCAACGCGATCTGAAAATCTACAATCTGTAAATGTACATGGATCGAGGGAGGACGCTTCCTTCGGAATCGGTTACATTCAACCCAAAAATCTAGTTACTCAGGAGCCTTTCACTTTTTTAAGTGAACCACAGAATACACAAGACGTAAAAGAACATAATGTGGATTTCCCTCAGAAAAGCTCATATCTGACTGTTGTTCGAGATAAATAACAAATGATCGGCTGTAATCTTTGTATCTTTCTATCTATTGCTATATATAGTTCTCAATTTGAAATGTTTAAAATCTCCTTAGAATTCCTCACTTAAAAATTCATTTTACATTGCATTAGTTTTAAATTCGTTAGGCACTATCTGTTCTGAAGTGACTTTTTAAAAATTAACGTATACTTATCAGAACATCTATTTTTATACCCCCCGCTTGAAAAGCGGGAGGGTATATAGCAATCGGTATGTCCGTCCGTCTAGCTGTCCGTCCATCCGTCTGTTACGCTTTGGGGTACCCATCTCTTATCCGCAACTCCTCTCATACCACTGAATGAAATTTGATGAAACGTTCACAGAATCTTTATTGCATAAATCCATTGAGCACCTCCTATTCTACTTTTTTTTATCGGACACATATTTTTGGGTTTCCCACAGCAAAATATGGACACTGCCATTATATTCATATGGGAGGCGTGGGGTATCATTTAGTGAGCTCATTGCTCACAGTACTTCTAGTTATTTAAAGTTTGTTTTCTTATTCTAAATAAACTATACCTAGATCCTTCACTGCAATGTCTTTAAATGAAAAAAAAAAATTCAAAATTAAAATAAAAAATTAGAAACCTTTTTATTAATGATTCCCTTCAAATGTAGTATAAAAGTAATCTGCAACGGTTTGAGAACGTTTATTGTGAAACCATTAAACCTATATTTGTTAACAGAGTGGAATAGCTTAGCTAATTTATGTTTTTTTTAACTCCATTCTAACAAAAAGAAATGAATAAAATCAACTTGAGATGCGTTGTAATAGTAAAGAATCGCTCTAGCAGCTGCAGTTTATAATTTTGGCTGTTTTGTTGAAATGAGATGAAAAAAGACATATTCAGTAAAGAAGATGATTAAATGCGAGGAAGTGTGAGCAAAGAGACTCCCATGAAACGAGAGAGATAAAGAGTCTCTAATGCCGTAAACTTTTACACACAGTTAATGCTTTAAATATGAGAATATCAGTCAAAAACGTAACTTACATGTATATGCATATTGTTACTGTGCTAAAATTAAAAAAAAAATAAATCTAAGCTGAACAATTGAAGAAAAAGCATTATTCCCTGAACATAACGAAAGCACTGTAGTAAAAGAATTTATTTGTTAATAACTATGATTACTGTAGTAGCCTATAAAATGTTTAGATAAAAATCATTTTTAAAAAGCACAATTGATATTTTGTTAGTATATCTTTTTCTACATATTATAAAACGTCAGCTGGCAGCAATTTGCATATCCATTTAATTATTTATATTTATATTGATATCAGTGACGGAAATAAGTATTCATTGAATTCAACAGTGGTGCAGTTGCCAAAACAAAGAGAGAAGAGTGTCAGCAAGCTCTTGATTATTACATGAACCCTTTGCTCATTGTGTTCATTGTGGCTATTTACATAATGATTAAGGTGATATTCAGTACATACAAGAAAGCAAAGCATACAAAGAAAAAAGACATAAATTCAGCACATGATTGTTATCAAAAGTATAATGCACTGTAAGAATTGAAATTGATTAATTTAATTAACCCAGAGAGTTTCAAGTTTATTTTATTCACCCAAACCAAGATTGGTACATGGGGTTCAAATAACATATAAACATTATATGTACAAACTTGTCACAGGTACATAATTTCTATATCACAAAAAGATGACATATATGAATAAAATAGGAAAGAGGTCGATAAAATGGGAGGGAATTATATAAAGGAGAAGAGTCAGCATCGTATTTAAAAAAAAAATAAACATACATAACTGTTTAAACATTTTCTCGATTTTAGTTGACTTTAGCTCCATGAATGTTATAACATTTGATCTGTATGAATAATAATTGCCCAGGATTTTTTTTTCTTATATTGGCTTAAATTTTACATTCTAATAAATAAAGAAATTCATAAGCAGTTTGAGTACTGTTACAAAGTTTACATAAACATGATAAAAAAAACCTTATTATGATGGCTCTGCTGATGCAAAGATTACTTATGATAAAACACTACACAAATGAAACATATGGAGATAACGAACAGTGCTCAAGATCAAAAGTCCATAAAACAATACAAAATAGGAGCAGAACAAACACGGACCTCCGAAACATCAGAGGTGGGATCAGGTGCCATGAAGGACTCTTCCTTTGGAATCGATTATATTCAACCAAAAAATCTAGTAAACAGGAGTCTTTCACTTTTGCAATTGAACCACAGAATACACAAGAAGTAAAAGAATATACATGTACTGTGGGTTTCTCTCAGGAAGACTGTTGCTCGAGATAAATTGCAAAATTATTAGCTTTTATCTTTATATCTTTGTATCTTTTGCTTGCTAAAAATACATATATTATATAGTTTTCAATTTGAGATGTTTAAAATCTCCGCAGAATTCGATCCTTCCTTAATAGTACAATTTACATTGCATTTTAAATCGTTTTAAATTCATTGGGCGCGAACTTGAAAACTTTTTTAAGTAGTATATTCTTATCAAAACATTTATTTTTATTCTTTGTTTCATGATTCTAAATGCAGTATAATTATCTAGATTAAGGGACTCCGGTCCTCAGCCAGGAAGGACAACTCTTTTTTTGTAATTTAATTCAAAATGTCTCAAAATGAAGCTTGAAAATTAAATCTTTTCATGCAAGAATTTTCATCATATACCTCTCAATATGCATCAAAGTTCTTTGAAGTTCTCAGAAAGGTCTACCAAAAAGTCAAGAATTTTTACTCCGTAAAAGCATTTTAAAATGACATATATCAAGAAATTCATGTTCATTTTTATCTAACCATAGATACCAATGTCTGTTAACATGATATGAAATTAGAACTGATTTATGGTGCTTTGCAGTGACAGGAGATTATTATGTAAGTACATTATGTGTATAAAAATTGTGGATTTTCTTCAAAAGCCTGTGATTTTTATTAATAAAAATTTTTTTAAAATGTGTTCATTGATCAAACTTAAATTGGAAAATGCATAGCAAATGTTTTCATTCGCAATTCCTGAAAATATATTTGATATTTTCTAATTTTCTCTATATAATATGATTAACTTGAAAGATGAAGTTTGAAGAATTATTGTGGGTAAAAACATGTTACTTTGAAAATTCAGAGACATTTTTGTGAGCATTTTCAATTAGTCAATGCTTGATTTTCAGAACCTGAGGATCGGAGTACCTTAATGTCCCTTTAGTGTTTAACAGCTTTTATCAATAAAAAAGAAATATCGGTAAAAATTTACAAAAAAATTAAAACCTTTTTGTTGTCATTCAAATGTACCTGCAATGGTCTGAGAGCGTTTATTGTGAAACCATTAAGAGGGCTGGGGTGTGGCTATTTTTAGACTATATCCTTTAGAAGAAGAGCTCCATATGAAGATATACAAAATGATCAAATTTTTCAAAACTAAACTGTATGAAATTTTTCTTTGCCAAATGATAGATGACAGCTTAAGATATCATACATGTATGTGTATGTAATAAAGAAGTTTTATCTGATAGTTAATTTGTTGGCCCCAGCCTTCTTAAATCTATATCTGCAGTAGCAGAATTGAATGCTTTTAGTGAATTTCCATTGTAACCAATACCGTAATGAATAAAATAAACTATATTCACGTTTTATTATAGAACAGCTGCTGTTTGTCTGTTTAACTGTGTTTAAACTTTTGAACCATGAGAGATAGATATACTTCATATGAAATAATATAAAGAATTCACTAACCTGTCTCGTTTTATGAATCGTTCTTACGCAGAACATGCTCTAGCATATTGAAACAACATCATATGCAAAATAACGAGTCAGTTCTAATTTGATGTACGAACGGTGACCACCCCAAGTCTTATTTAAAGAGCCACCTCCACCCTTTCGATCTTACACCTATTTTAATAATAAAAGGATTTTGCCACAAAAATAACGAAGGTTGTTAAAAAGTTAGTCATTATGTTTATCAATAAAAATTATATAAAAGCCACTGATATTCCTTTCCCTTTAATGTTTTCTGTACAGTGAGAGTCCCATGTCTAGATTCTGACTCGTTACTGGTGAAATCTACTTCTTATATGCTTCCCAAACCAAAAAGTAGTTTCAATATAATCATACTTTACTTTATTTAATTATAGTAAATCAAAGTTCTTTAACTATGAATTTTGGATAGATATAATTCTAATTTTTTAAACTCCCTGCAAGTAATTTTCTGAAAATGAAATAAGATACTGAGTATTTCTTTTATATTTACATATGCTTTTAAAAATTATAGTCATTGATATGAAATTTACAATTGATTAAGGTTCTAAATCTTCAAAAAAAAAAAACAAAAAAAACAAACAAACAAACAAAAAAAAAAAAAAAAAAAACAAAAAACAAAAAAAACAAAAAAACAAACAAACTTTAGAGTAAAGTTTCATAGTACAGTGTGATTAATCAAAGTATCAAATTATTCATTATAGTTTACTTTGTTTTGTTTTGAACATATTTTATTGACAATATGTCAAAGGGATTGGACACAAGTTCCAAAAACTTAGATAATCCTCTCTTAGATTAGATAGTTTACTTTACTTTAGTAGACTTAGACAGTAAAGTGTGTATAATTCTGTTGATACTTTCTCGTATTTAGATATATAATAATTAATTTACACCTCAAAAAAAGTAACTAAAAAATTCATCCAGTACGAGTCCGTATGGTTGGGAGTCCGGGACACTAGTTTTAACGCTCGTCAGCACTGCTTTTACCCTCTCCAATTTAGAACTCTTCTGCGCTTAAAGTTAAAAATAAGCGCCAAGCAAAAGGAAAACTGGCCAGAATTTGGAGTAAGGATAAAAAAGTGTAAACATTGTAGTTTCTTTCATGTGTTTGCATTCAATTGCTGGTATATTTCAGTTAAAGTAAAGGCAAATGTGACTAGTTATTCAATGTAGGTAGAAAATTTATGTTTGTGATAAAAAACATGTTTTTCCAATTATAAAGAAAATCCTAGTCTCACAGTCACACTCACAGTCAGAGCAAGTCCTGCACAATCTCTTGGGTTTTTTTAAATAGCTTGAATAAGAAAAATAGTTTTATGAAGCTATTTGTAACTCTTTGTATGAACTATTTCTATTGATCCACAATATCTGCAGTAAACAATTGTTTTCATGTTTATGATGTTAGAAGTTTATCATGTTTATGATAGGGATTACAATGAAGAAAACATTTTGAAAATTCATGTATGTGCTTGTGCAGACTCAGTTTCATATTTGATTTGTTTTTACTGAAAGTGTGAATTTTTCAATTCTAAACTCTGACTAAACATTACTGAAAAAATAAATGAAAAACTCAACTGCTGTTTATTTCATATAGATATTTGTTAAGAATGTTTCACAAAGGAGGGGATGGGAAACCCAAAGGATTTGGATTTTCTGGATTCTCGATTTCCAAGAAAGAAGAGCAGGCCCCTAGTCAGTCTGGTTTAGGAGGGATGCCTTGTGGAGGATCCAGCATTATGCCGGGTAGATCATTTGGGTATCACACAAACATTGGCAAGAAGAGAGCAAGGAATGAAGATGAGTGAGTGACTTTTTTTCCCTTGAATCAAGAAATGTTTTCTTTCATAGTGCCTTACACAGGTTTCCATTTTTGCAGAGTATAAAGCATTTTTGTGAATCTAAAAGTAATATTTTTGTTGTGTTGCATTTCTTTTCAATAACTTTAAGGTACTTTGAACAAGATGATGATGAGGATAATATGGCCTATCAGCCAGCCCCAGGAAGTCCAGGGCAGGAGAAAACAGAAGACAGTGACGAAGAAGATCCCTTAGATGCTTTCATGGCAGACATTGAGGTAACCTGCAATTTACAAATTTCACTAAGGTG